GTGAACTCTCGAGAATTTGAAGTTTTTAGGGGAACTGAATTCTTAAAGTATTTGAGAATTTGGAGATCTGAACTCTTTTTGTGAGTGTTTTATATTCCTGAGAGCTCTTGAGAGCTCCTGAGAGCTCCTGAGAGCTCCGAGACTCTAGAGCTCAAGAAGCTCCTGGGGAGCTCTGAAGCTCCTGAGGCTTCTCAGAGTTCTCAGAGTTTCAAGCTTAAAAGAATTTCAGAGCTGCTAAAGCTCTTTTTGAAGCCTCTTTTTGTCTTCCCGGTTCTGACCTTAAGAGTTCGAGATCACTATAATTTCCCTCTCTCTCTCTCTCTCTCTCTCTCTCTCTCCTCTTTTCCTCTCCTCTCTCCTCTCTCTCCTCTACTTTTCTCTCCTCTCTCTCTCTCTCTCTCTCTCTCTCTCTCTCCCCTCTCTCTCTCTCTCTCTCTCTCTCTCTCTCTCTCTCTCTCTCTCTCTCTCTCTCTCTCTCTCTCCCTCTCTCTCTCTCTCTCCTTCTCTCTCTCTCTCTCTCCCTCTCTCTCTTTCTCTAGCTATTTATCTATCTCTCTGTCTATCTATCTATCGTTAACGAAGAGTCTATGTCTATTTCAACACTCAGACAACCAGCGAACTTCTGACGTCAGTTGTGTTGTCAGATTCGGTTGTCAGCTGGTGTCATCAGGGTGTCAGCTGGTGTCATCAGAGTGTCAGCTGGTGTCACCTCACGTCCACAACTTATCGACGCCTCGCGTCATTTGCTGTCAGAACTTGTCAACATTGCAACAAACAACATCTGCAACACATGAGTGACGTAATGCTGTCCTTGTTGCTTGCAGGCTGAGGGACTGACTACCTGCCGTATCTGTCGTTGAATTCTTCTGTGTTTGACAGATGAAACCTGTTGCGCAGGCTGTTCAGGGAGTACACAACAAATTCTAACTACACAGTAGAGCGAAAAGACTAATGTGAAGGACCTGGGAGTGATAATGTCAGAGGATCTCACCTTCAAGGGATCACAACAGTGTCACTGTCACATCTGTGAGGAAAATGATAGGATGGATAATGAGAACCTTTAAAACAAGGCATGCCAAACCAATAACAGTACTGTTTAAGTCGCTTGCTCTATCTAGGCTCGAATACTGTTGTACACTAACAGCCCCTTTCAAGGCAGGTGAAATTGCAGATCTGGAATATGTACAGTCAAGCACCTCAGTTTCTGGGAACGTTTGAAGTCCCGTGACCTGCACTACCTGGAACACAGGCGAGAAAGATACATCATAATCTACACTTGGAAAATCCTAGAGGGGTTTGTCCCAAATCTGCATATGTACGCAAAAAACTCGGCAGGAGGTGCATCACGGGCGCCATGACTACGCTAAGAGATAACACAATAAGTGTCCGGGACCCAAGACTGCTCAACAGCCTCCCACAATACAACAGACCCCTGGCTGTCTTCAAGACCCCTGCCCTGCCACCCCGTGTTAAGAAAGATGCCACTCGTGTTAAGAATGATGCCACCCATGTTAAGAATGATGCCACCCAGTGTTAAGAATGATGCCACCCGTGTTAAGAATGATGCCACCCATGTTAAGAATGATGCCACCCAGTGTTAAGAATGATGCCACCCCGTGTTAAGAATGATGCCACCCGTGTTAAGAATGATGCCACCCATGTTAAGAATGATGCCACCCAGTGTTAAGAATGATGCCACCCCGTGTTAAGAATGATGCCACCCGTGTTAAGAATGATGCCACCCATGTTAAGAATGATGCCACCCCGTGTTAAGAATGATGCCACCCCGTGTTAAGAATGATGCCACCCGTGTTAAGAATGATGCCACCCCGTGTTAAGAATGATGCCACCCATGTTAAGAATGATGCCACCCCGTGTTAAGAATGATGCCACCCCGTGTTAAGAATGATGCCACCCCGTGTTAAGAATGATGCCACCCGTGTTAAGAATGATGCCACCCGTGTTAAGAATGATGCCACCCGTGTTAAGAATGATGCCACCCCGTGTTAAGAATGATGCCACCCCGTGTTAAGAATGATGCCACCCCGTGTTAAGAATGATGCCACCCCGTGTTAATAGGCTCCATATGCCAAACTTCTCTGCTTCTAAGAATGTCATTACAGGCCCTAATTATGTGCTCATCTGAAGAACGAGGCTCTCGTTGGGTATCTTGTCCCTCATTGGTTGATTGCGGTCTTTAGGATGTTACCTGTCATCTCATTGGCTGATTTTTTATCGCTAAGGAGGTTATCATTGGCTGGTTTCTGGTGCGTAGGATGCTATCTCTCTCCTTATTGGCTGGGTTGTGGTGCTTGCGGATGTTTGCTTTTATATTATTGGTGGGTAAGAGGCAGGCGCGCACGCGCACAAACGCTCACACATACACACACACACACACACACACACACACACACACACACACACAAACTCACACACACACGCACACACACAAACACACACACACACACACAACACACACACACACACACACACACACACA